CACCATCAGTAGGGCTTTATCCCCCCCAGGGCATTTTTAGTGGTCAAGACCATAAGGGGGAAAACTACGTCGACTCCCTTGAACTACTCTTACTTCGAACGGGGGATAGAACGATTGGAGCAAGACTTTAAATACGGCGTGGGGTTTGTAAGCCCCAGAGAGGCTCTGGATCCCCGATTCACGCGGATAAAGGCCAATATCGTGTTCCTTTGGGTGGGCCCCGGAGTCAAGCATACCTCAGCGGGGGCGAGAGTAATTTACCCTTATTTTTGTTGGGGGGGGGGGGGGAGTTGAAGAAAGAAGGGAGGGTAAATATCATACAATCGAAATGTGAATCTCCGAACGTCTGTTCAAGTTTGTCTAATAGAAATTCCTAGTAAAATTCCTAATATATGTGTGTTTTTTGTTCTTCAGTACACTGAATGCAACAATGGTTCTTCCACTCTGAGAAATTCTTACTGTGCATGTAGCATATAAATAGGAAGGGGGGAAGTCCGTAGACATGCTCAAGCGCACACACATATACAACGGAAAAAGCTGTTGATATCTAATGTTGTGTTGTGTCACACATGCAGTTAACTGTCGAAACTAAACTCAAGTCGGTGTGGAGAAATATGCTAAGATAAAATACACACCCACAAGTTGAAATAAGCACATGATTTAAAAGATCACGCACAAAATCATTATAATAATTGTCTTGAACGCAGTGAAATTATGCAATGAATGCAATAACAAAGCAAAATCAATACAGCAAACGCATAAGATTTATAAATTATATTTGAAAAATATCAGCAAGACAAGCAGCTACAAGTGAAAAATAACAAAAGAAAGCGAACGACCTTAGGCTGTTGTTCTGGATCCTTTTGTTGTCTGTTTGATGTAGCATCCCTGGCCTCCTCCTCAAGTACAGCATGATTTGATTCATCTGCCCATGAGAGAGTTAAATGAAGCAGAACATTGTAATTTGTAAAGTGAATAGCTCTATGATATAAAGAAACTACATCCTACCAAATATGAAACAGTAAAGCAAAGAGTAGTTCTCTTCTATTGCCAATTCAGAAGATGAAGTCAAAAGCACATAAGCAAAGAATTCTTACTCTCGTTAACATTCATTATTTTCTCAGTGTTGTTATCTGACTCTTCATTTGGCCTACTACCAGCATCTGTGCTTGCATTCCCATCTGCAAACTGCTCAGAAAGATTATGTGCTTCTGCCATCACTTCATTTTCGAAATCATCCTGCGCATTTTCCGTTGCTTTCTGCGCATTAGAAGTTGTAGGCTCTGCATAATCAGCCTCTACATGTGATTGCAACTCACTAGACATGCCCATACCCTGTGTATTTTCCTTTGCTTCTTGAGCATTCACATTAGAAGTTGCAGGCTCTGCATATTCAACCTCTACACGTGATTCCAACTCACTAGACATGCCCGAATCCTTTGGTGCATCATCCTGTCGCTTATCCTTGGTCAGGGCAGGAGAAGCGTTTGGGAATGCAGAAAGATCAACATCCAGAGGTGAAAATGGATCTCTCAGGGGATTGGATTGCAAAATTCTTTTTTTCAGAAAAGCCATGGAAGCAAATGGACTTCTTGGAGGAGTTGGGGAAGAAACATGATTATTCGGATTAGCCACCGGTTCATGTTCTATAGATCGTTTCCTACTGAAACTTTTCAACACACTATCAATAACAGAGGAGTTCTTGCGAGGCTTTTGCAGACTTTCTGACACAATTGAAATACTAGTCCTTCCAACATCTGCTAGTTCAGTCATGTATAAGTTCTCGCGATCAAGAGGTTTGATCTTCAACCGGTCCTGCAAGATATTCAAAGCCCCATGCCCTTCTAAATCCTCGTAATTACAGGACAGTAGTTCCTCCAATATATTGTTGACTTCATTATCTGTCTTCTTTGTAGATTCTGCTACATAAAAAAAAAAACATGTGATACAAAATGAGACGGAAAGTAATTTTTTCGACATCAATGTTAAGGATACAAAGGCTAGTTTTACGGTTGTAGAAATGGAACAATGAATAAATATTAAAGAACATACTCACCAGCTTCAACTTCCTCTGAACCAGCATCAGGACTAGGATCTGGATGTACCAACTTTTCTTGAGACTCGTCTTTAGGTGAATTTGGAATGTCCTCATCCACTGTCTCTTGGGATGGCATCGACGTGTCATCATTTTCATAAGGCGTGGATGAGAAGCGGTGCTTATAATTATATGACTTCCTGTAATTAAATGGAATTTGTTGATCATGTAAATCAAAACCAGATAAAAGGAATATTTATAAGATAGAAACTCAACTCTTGCTGCACAAATCAATCTATATGGAAAAATACAATCTAATATATACCCTAAAATTCCAGGTCGACGTGGGCGTGCATTATTTGATGGTTTATAAAGGTCTAAATTGTCCGTACTGCCACCCAACTGCTTCTGTATTTCTTTTTTCGCATCTGGAACAATGAAGATGTACAAAATTATAAATCCAAAACAAACGCATTGCAATATATAGGATACGGTACATGAAAAAAGAAATATATATATATATATATATATATATATATATATATATATATATATATATATATAGTTTATAATGAAAAAAGAAATACTCTGCATCCTCTCATAAGCATCAAAATATTCATCCGGGTCCTGAAGGTGATCGATATTCAAAGTAGGTTCCAAAATCACTGAAGGCTGGCTGTAGAAAAAAGTATAAAAATTGTTAAAATATGCAGATAAACTTATTTAAACCTAATCAAGCCGATGTAAAGTGTAGAACTTGTGAGCTTCAGTTATCACCTGATGTTGGTCTTTAGAGAGAATGGAGCCCTCTTACGAACACGGGCAAGACCTGGTCTTCGTTCTTGAGGCCTGTCTTTACCTTTAGCAGCTATGGCATCACCAATGCCCACATTTTCCGCAAAGCTTGCAAAATTAGATTCCATAAGCTGTATTCCACCATCCACAATTTTCTTTGCCTCACACATGAGCTTTTCAGGACTCCTTAACTCCTGCGATTAACCCAAAAAAACACACGACATAAGCCTAAATTCACATTCTATCTTCTTTGTGAACACTTAACCAGGTCGAACTCACAAACTGTTAAAATTCAAATTTAAGCAAGATTGTCTTGTTGTTACCCGTACAGCGATCAAGTAGCAGTTACCTGGATTCTCCATCAAAAACAAATTCTACAGGGAAAAAAAGAAAGAATAAAACCTAAACTGAAACTCACACACACTTAATAATAGGCCAAGACCACTGATTACAACTAACTCTACCACAACTTCAACCCTCCCCCCCCCCCCACCTCAAAACAAAACAGAAGTCTTCCCACACTTGTGACATGGAAAGTAAGACCAAAAAAATTGGAAAAATCCAACCAAAAAATTAGTAAACCACAAACACTGAGTGCAAGGTTAGCTCACATATATGCTCATCATCTATAACTGGTAAAACGACAAACGAACTAAATTAAGGATAAATAAAATGAATTTACCAGGGATTTCATGAAATTGTGAATCGAATCTAGGTCTTTGGAATCGGCCGGAACTGGAACGTCGGCTGAAGCCCTAATCGTGCGGGGAAATAACGACGGCCCATTGATTCCGCCCAGTGGATCAACGGAGTCGGAGACTCCCGCCTTGCTCGCCATTTGCACCGTATTTCTCCGCCTTGTGAGTGTGTGTGTGTGTGTGTGTGTGTGTGTGTGTGTGTGAGAGAGAGAGAGAAAGAGAAGAGAGAGAGAGAGAGTCGAATTACTTTTCGAATTTCAGTGGTCTGTGCGCGAGCGGGATGCTGAAAAACTGAAAAAGGTTCCATTCCAGAAAGTCGCGTTTCGTAAGCACGCTTTTATAATTTTTTGAAATGTTTTCATATTTTGGGCTTCAACCTTTGATATAAAGATAATTGATTTTTTTTTTAATTCGGGTTATTTTAGATTTTCAGGCCGCACGTATAACATAATAGTTCTTTTGGGCCTATTTTAGTAACAATACTTTTCAGCCCAAACATTTAACATAGGATGGGTTTGAGTATAATACTTTCTTATATATTTTTTATTATTTAATAAATAAATATATAATATTTATACAATTAAAAACAACTATATTATGAAATATAATTCCTTTTTTCGTTTTTAGTAGATTTATTGGAATTTTATTTTTGTTGGGACGAAATTGTAACAATAACATAAATTTGGGGCTAAATTAAAAATAGAGATAAGAATGAGGGTTGAAACATCATGGCTACGTGGAATCTAACTCCAAAATCAAACGGCGGACCGAAAGTATAAAAAAAATGGTTAGTTTGTGGACTAATGTGGTGACAGAAACAATATAGGGACTAAAATCAAATTACGTGTATAATATCGGGTCAAAAATGTAATTATGTGTTGTTTTTCGGTTTTAAAACAAAAAAGATTGCGAAAAGCGTTTAATTAGAAACCCCGACTCTCTGCTGAAAACCGCAACGAAACTGAAGCTTTGAGCACCTCCGTCAATGGCGAAGTCTTCCTGTTTGCTGGTGCTACTTTGATTCCGCTACTACTGGATTAATTCATCGCTTTCAGGTTCGAAAAAGTATTTGATTAATTTTACATTTTTTTTATTACGTTCGTGAATGCAGGATTGGATAAAATTAATTTTAGAAATATTTTCCAAATTATTAATGGAAATTACTCGCTAATGCTCTGCTAATCCTTCTTCTTCTTCTCGGCATTTCGATTTTGCAGTTTATAAGTTCTGTCAAAAGTACCGATTGAAGTGAGAGAAAGGTGACGTCATCATGTCCGAATCAAATAGCAGGAAAAGGAATCTTCCCTCATGGATGAGTTCAAGGGATGACGAAAATGGCGATGGTGAAAACTCCAAGCAACCTCGAAACGATCAAAAATCGAACAAGGACCGAAAATCCGCCCCTGCCGCCAGCTTGGATGCCTCGGATTCATCAAAACTCATGGTATTGCAGTATAATTTGATCAATTGAATTCTTGCTATTGTTAATTAGGTCGTGGGTTTGAAGGTTTTGGTAATTGATTTTACAATCGTGTCCGATTTTAGGAGGGAATCGTGTTTGCGCTGTCTGGTTTTATGAATCCAGAGAGGGGTGTTCTTAGGTCACAGATGTTGGAAATGGGGGCAGAATATCAACCTGATTGGAACTCGAATTGCACGCTTCTAGTTTGTGCGTTTTCGAGTACCCCCAAATTTAGACAAGTTCAAGCTGATGGTGGAACTATTATATCCAAGGTACAGAACATGTTGCTTGAGCTACGATTCTTGTTTTATATAGTATGTAGACATGGGCAATTTGTCTTGTTTGGTTGATTGTGGATTCAACGAGTTTTTATCTGTTTTTCGTGCCAAATTTTATCCAGCCATTGTTAAGTAGTGTGAAATTCAACGAGTTAATGAATTAGAATTAGTGTGAAATTCTTAAGTAGCTGTTCAGTGCTTTCAAGCGGGGATTGGCAAATGTTTGTTGGTCTCCTCATTCGAACTTTGTACGATCAATTTACTGTTCTTAATTGGGGTGTCGATATAAGGCTGTTATGGATTTAAAAATGTTATTTGTCGCAGTATTCTGCATATCGTTAGCACTCTATGATTGCTTCCAGCGTGTTTGCCATGCTTCAGAGAATTTACTTCGTACTCCTCTAATTATGTTTTTATAGATATCTTGTAATGTATTTCTTCGACGTGATTCAGTTTTTTTTCTATCACTCCCGAAACTTGTTTTAAGATCCATTTCTCCAAAAAAGTTGGGCTTCTTTCTTTCTTTCCTCCTTTTATTTACTATATCCATCCATTTACTGCCTTAGAGACTGTGACAATTTTTTCGTCTGATTTAGGACTGGATATCGGAGTGTTATACCCAAAAGAAACTTGTGGATATTGAGCCCTTCATACTGCATGCTGGTAAACCGTGGAGGAAACAATCCATTTCTCATGAAGTTAGAGAAGGTTTCTCAATCACCCCCCCACCCCCTCGTGAATATACCTATCAACCTATCTTATATATATATATATATATATATATATATATATATATACACACACACACACACACACACACACACACACATATTTGATAGTGCATATCTTACTTACTTAATAGTTCTAAGCAACTCTAGTACTTAGTGAACTCCACTTGGTTCAGTTTCTTTTCTCGTTGGTGTTATTATGTGTCCGTATCTGTGAAAACACAAAAAACAAGAAAATGGGAAAGGTTTCGGAAATTTGGGTAGAAGGTGGTTAAAAGGCTGTATACGACTTAGCTAGCTGCTAGACGCTAGTAATATTGGCTTGTGTATGATGACTTAGCTCAATACTTGTGTATTTTATGTATATTGTTGATGTACAAATATGCTGTTATAGTTGAGATCCAACTAAATATCAAATTCTACTTTCAGATATGAAGCCATCCACGAGTAATAAATCTTCAAAACGCAAAGAAACGGGCTTGCATTCAAAGAAGACTACTTCTCCCAAGGTACTCATATTCTTTTTGTCTTTTTTATGTCGAAAATACATTTTCTATTGCTTTTTTTCCCAAATACACCAATGTTCTGTCGCTCTTATGAATCTCGTCTTTTGAGCATAATTATATTCCTGTTTTCATAATTATTGAACTGAGATACAAAATCTTGTTCTCATTTAAATTTTAGCTTCTTTGAAACTTGTGCTGGTACAGGTTGTTACATTTCTATGCTGTTTATGTTAAGTGATTATGCCATTTTTAATCAGGATATAATATTCTTACCAGATAAAAGGCTGCATTTCTCTTACGAAAGCGAAGAAGTGGGCTGTTGAGGATCTTAAAAGAACCATATCATGGCTGGAAAATCAAGATGAGAAAGTAAGCTGTAATCTTTCGCTAAATCTAACATAAATATTGTTAAAAATTATTTGAGGTTGAAGGCGTAATTTTTCTTAATGTGATAAATGATATCACCATTTGGTTCAGTCTTTATGCTCTTACTTCTTCAATCTTCTTAATGCCACGTCACAATTTTTTTTTCCTCCTAGCTGAATAGTTCTATTTTCAGAATGGATTTTTGTTTTTAATTTTATTCATTTCCAAATTTTATTACATTGCCAATTATCCATGGACATGATTGTTTTTACTTGTCAATAATAATTCATAATATGACATGTATATTACATTGTTTTCTACAATTACTGTATTAGAAGTTCGACTCTGTTCATATGATTTATAAGATCTCCAATCGTGTTCGTGTATCAATTTTTCTTCTTATACATCGAGTTTATTTTTCGGTTTTTGCAGCCACAGCCAAGTGAGATAAAGAAGATAGCTGCTGAAGGAATCCTAACTTGTTTACAGGATGCTATAGATGCACTGAAGCAAGGCCTGGTATTGATTTATATTTGACGATAATTCAATTTTCATTTTTCACCCCTAAATACTTATCGGTCATTTCAAAACCGTCCAACAAAATTTTCATGTATATCATTTTTTCCATTACATATTTAACATGATCTTCGAAGCCTATCTGCCATACTATTTATATACGACTTATCTATGATTTCTATAGACTAATGACCGCATGTTTTCTATACGTACTTAAGGCTTCATTTGGTTCCTAATACAAGATTAGTCAAATAATCTCCCAATTGGCCAAGATTAGAGCCATTTTTTTCCGCAATAAAGTCCAATCATATAATTAATCATGAGTGTAGTAAAAGTATCTGTGCTTGTATTTTATGTCGTGTATATATAAGTTGAAAGTATACATTACATATTTTATTAAGCATCCTCGTATACATATACACTTCCGTGTTTTAGGGCATACAACAAATGGTGGAGCAGTGGGCTTGCCTTCCTCGTGCGGTGGAGGAGCTAGTGCAGTTTGATGGCAGCATAAATGGCCCTAGCAAAGAAGATCTATGTAAAGAAGCAATGAGCTGTTACGGAATGTACCAGGTGGAATATCTCAATTTGGACCAAGACGAAGACTTTGTTGTAATAAGCAATAAAAGGCCGCAAATTCGTACATGCGTGAAAGTTGACAAGAAAGAGAATGTTGATCCTTGTTATGACAGTGATGCGACGATTGAGATGACCGAAGAGGAGATTGACCAAGCTTATAACTCCTTTTGTGAATGACAACAATGTTTAGGTTTTTGAAATTTTCTTGTGTTTGAAAACTCTGATTTTTGATTTGAAATTTGAATTACTCGAAGAAGGTTTTCATAATGAGATTTTACATGAAGTCATTTATAACAGTTTTAAGAGCTACTTTATCCCTGCCATCATTAAATAAACAATCCACATTTTTTTTTTGGTTTCAGTACATAACTTTATTAGAGAAAAAATGCCCAAATAAACTCTTGTAGTAATACTAGTAGTGTAATAATTTAACATAATTATGTTATAACAAAAATTTTGTTTGGGCCAAATCTGAAACTCAAGTCCTAGGCATGCTTCTTCGCCTGAGACGATGCCATTGTCTCTGGAAACATCGGACACATTATCTTTGCCCTGCTTAGCTGACGAGTTTTTTCCCATCTTTTCTAAGTCTATAAACGAGAACTTTCTTGTCATGGTGGTCGGAATAATAATCACAATTTGTATTTATAAAGATCGCGTTAATTGATGGGGCGACCCTAACGAGTGCCTCTAAGAAATTTCTTCACTTTTACACCCGCAGTACCCATCCATTATACAACCTTGAGATTGCTGCGGGTGGGCCCACTTTCGTCTATTGAAGTTACGTCGGGAAATTCCATCATGTACTTTGCTACCTGTGTACAATGTACGCGAGCCACCAAGTACTCCATCTGTGACAATTGCAAAATTAAATTTAAGCAAAAGCAATCTTTTTTCTTTGAAATAAAATTCAATTCTTCATCATAAAAATACGGTGAAGTCGAAGCATAATTTGAACTCTTCTATGTTAGGAGAGTCCTTGATAAATGATATGAAAAAGAGAAGGCTTCGCCAAATATTTGACACAATGTTCAATTCTAGCAGCTCGAGAAGTAGTAGAACTGGTACTGAAAAGGTGGATCAATTATTCTCTGAAGAAAAGTCGAAGAAAAAATGTGAGCGGTTGTTGATGTCATGAGTTATTCGGATGATATAATGAACCTACCGGAGTTTGAACACTCGCACATTGAAGATTCAACACTAGATTCTTTATTATACGTGTGTAGCATGCGATATTTTTGGGTTCATAAATGAAAGACTGGCAAATCACCCCACCAAGACTTTAGCTAAGAGAGACTGTGTCTGGATGACAAACTGATACTTCTTCCTTGGTATGTAAATGAGACGAGTTTTTTGGCAGTTATCTCCAGGCTCTCAATGTTGCGGTGGATACTTCCAATACCTTCAAATTCGGTAATGGATCAACAAATTCGAGTTTCTTTGTAGCATAGTTTGATATAAGGACATGAGTCTAGAAAATAGTGAACCACCTCATCTTCTATATCGACATCTATTGAGCGAAAAGCATCAGGGTATCTAATACTTAGGGATACCGGCCCGTGAATGTCGTAAATGTTGATGATGCAATCCATCGAAGTAAGAGTAGGGGTGGAAATCGGACGGAATGGATCGGAAATACCTTATTCGGAAATTTTTCAATTTTTTTCGGAAGTTAAACATAGGTTCCAATTTCCGTTCCAAAAAAATCGGAATTTCAAAATCCATTTCAATTTCAGAATCCCTCGGAATTGGCGGAATTTTCGGAAATCTTAATTTTTTGTTCCAAAATCGGAAATAATGGTAATTAACATTTATATTTTTTTATTTAATATATATCATACATTATATATTTCGGAAATAAAATCGGATCGGAAATCGAAATTTCCAATAATTTTATATGTAATTCCAATTCCGTTCAAAAAATAATCGGAAAAATTGGAAATCGGAATATCGAAATTAGAACGAAAAAATGGGTTCCAAATTCGGATATTTTCGGATCGGAATTGGCGGAATTCGGAAATGCCACTCCAATTTCCACCCCTAAGTAAGAGCAATGATCAATTAAGCAACAACTAGCTGACAGATCCAATTCGAATTCTTTTACTTGCTTGAGGATGGCGGAGCATATCCATTTACCGAGTCAGTCTTTTCAATTAATAAATGTTTTAATAGTGGGGCTGAAAATACAGGAATCTAGTAATAAATCCCCACTATAAACGGGCTGAAATAGAAAGCCCAAAGGGAAGCTATTTAGAAACCCAAAACGTCGTCGTGTGCTTCTCTCTCCCCTATCTCTCTAAAATTTGATTTGCAACTCCACTTGTTTCATGCTTGATTTTGCATGCTCATTCCTTCATTACATTGTAATTAAAAAAATATATTGGTGTACCATTGGAGAGATCCAATAAACAATCTCCTAATTAGCCAAGATTAGAGCCATTTTTTTTCCACAATTGCCGACCCGGCTTGGGAAAAAAAGGTTATTGGAGTAATTAAACATCCAAGCGAGTCATGTATTTTGTGTCGTACATATAAGTCGTAAGTATATACTATATATTTTGTTGATTATAGGGTAAATTACGGCGACTCTTGAGGTAAGGTTAAATTACGAAATATCTGTTTTGTTTTGGTAATTACAACCGCTGGCTCAAAGGTTACAAATTCAACATAATCTTCTAGATTCCGTGGAATATTATCTGATTTATACTCGTTTTGTGGAAAATGCAGTTTCAAAACACATCTCATGATCGAAAGTTAAGAAACACATCTCATGATCATCTTGTTTCAAAACGTAGACCTCCAATTGGATAAAACGGGTATAAACTTGAGGATACTCCACGTAATCTATAAAATTCCACTAAATATGAGAGAAAAAAAAAAAAAAAAAAACTGAAAGCACCTTATTCCTTTTTTTTTTTTTTTAATTGTCATACTGATTTAAGAAAGTAAAATAAACCAAAATGACGAAAATACCCTCCACAAGACCCTTGACTTTGTACACTTTTCACAAAATGAGTTTCCGAGTGTACATTTCTCTCAACTCTCCTTCCTTGTTGTAGGGTTGCAGCAGATAAACGCCACCCCTCCCCTCCCACCGCAAACCCTTTCCCCCTCTCTCTCTCTCGCTCTACTAATCGTACTCTCTTTCTCTCTCTAAAATTATCGAAACCTTCCGAAATTAATCTCCAGTTTCTTCTCACAGCTCGCCTGAAACTGCAGCAGTTGCTACAATGGGTGCTTCGCTTCCTTCCAAAGAGGCCAATCTGTTCAAGCTCATCGTTGTAAGTTTTTTCGCCCCCCGTCGAGATTCTAAAATTTGAGATATTGTTTTATCTAGGGATTTTGCCGAACTTGTGATTGAAATTTTGATGTACGGCGAAGTGTAAAACCCTAGGAATTTTTTTTAGCAGATTTGTCGATGCTTTGACTCTGTCGTATTGTTTGTTTTTTTTGTCGAATTGTAGTGTTGTAGACTCGCAGTTCATGTTTTTGTATTCAACATGCAGGCATTGCGTATGTGATTCTTTGTAATATTTATTTTCATCTGAGCATGCAATAGTCAATTGTGTTGAATAGCACTTTGCATTCGACTGCAATTAAGTGAAATCTCAGATTTTGAGTGCGGAAATAGTTATTTCTGTTTGACATATTTTAATGGGGAGATAGAAAATGAAGTACATTATGGGCTTCTGGGACGACCTGCTTATCAATTTTTTCTTTATTCGTATATTTATGCAAAGATTCGAGAAATGGATACATGTTTCACGTATGTCTTGTTGAATGCTTGTAGCTTAGGGATCGATGTAGCTTAAAGTTGCAAGACTTGGTAGTTAGGGTACATTAAGAACAAATGCACATGAGTATTGGAATTTGGAAGTGATCATGTAATTTGTTAGAGACATTAAAATTTGTCGACTGAAGAAAATGAAGAGGAATTTGTGATGAATACTGCATAATTATGTTTATAAATCGGTAATATTCACGAGCTGTTCCACCTTTCATGGAATTGTTTATTAGAATTTGTACTATTTAAAATGTAAGTACATACATACATGAGTGGCTTTATAAAAAAAATCCACTGGGTAAATGATTCGGTTTCCAATACTAATTCTAAAGTGATGGTACACGTTTTTGTTATGCAAGTGTACATTCTAACGCATTCAGGTCTATGATTATCATAAGTTTTGAGACATCTTTTGAATTATATCTACGCAGAAATCCTACGAAACAAAACAGTACAAGAAGGGTATAAAGGCTGCTGATGCAATTCTAAAGAAGTTCCCTGACCATGGAGGTATGTGGATATTTTATCTGTTAGTGTAGTGCATGCTTAGCATCTCTCTTTTATTGTTGTGATAAGCTTATGTAAGATATGAAATGAATGGAAATCTGTCTTCTCCATCATTTTACGTTTTATGCATATGATATTGCATCCCTTGTATAATAGTATATAGCTTGGTTCTAAAAATATCTATCTATCAAGCTAGGATTTGTATTTGAGAAATGTTTATCATGGTCTTCTCATGCTTCCTTGGACTTCTTATAAAATTGACTGTATACAAATGTCGAATACTATGCTGAAGCAATTTGTTATGGGCATGTTAAACTGTATGTAACAGTAGGAAATAGAAAAAGAAAAAGGAAAAGAACTGGAATATGTTTCCTTGCCTATTTTTAAATATTTAACAGAACTGGAATATGTTTTTAAAGAATTTCTTTCTTCGCTTCTGGTCACATTTCCAATAAATGCATAAATACTTGCATTTGAAGAAAAATCAACTCTAGTAGGAATTCTGCTAGAGGGCCAATTTGTTCGATGTGTCATATGTTCTAAGAAATGTCCTTCACATTACGAGCTTATTGTCATCAGCCTGTCTTCTTAGAAATGTTCTTATATCACATTTATAGCTTATTCTTATCAGCTTAAAATGAAAAGAGGTGGATTATTGGCTAGATATTCATATACGAGGTCTATTACTTCGTAGATTTTAGACCCCTAAGTGCTGATGATAATATGGAATTTTTGCCACTTTCTGCTGTGTGGAGGAAGAAAATGGATTCGTAGCATAATAAATTTTAGTATGCAATCAATGGCATGGGTTTGCAGCATGTCTCAGACTGATAAAAGATTAGCAGAGAAAATATTTGTGTTCTCTAAACTTCATTTTTTCATTCGTAATCTGGTATGACCATCAACTCCTTGTTCTGACTGATGTCATGCTCTCTAATTTTTGTTTTGATTTCTTTGTTGGTCACCAGAGACTCTATCAATGAAAGGGCTGACTTTGAATTGCATGGACCGCAAGTCAGAAGCATATGAACTTGTTAGGCTTGGATTGAAGGTTAATACCTCCAATTTTCCTCTACCATGAACTAGTGCCTATCTTTCTTGCCTATAGTAAGCGACCGGTATTAAACTTGATTTTCCTCTTGTGCAGAATGACCTCAAGAGTCATGTTTGTTGGCACGTTTATGGTCTTCTTTACCGTTCAGACAGAGAATACAGGGAAGCAATTAAATGCTACCGCAATGCACTAAGGATTGATCCTGATAATATTGAAATACTTCGGGATCTCTCTCTTTTACAGGTATATTATGTTTCGAACAAAAAACTATTTACTTTGACAATATGTAAACATTTTTTTATTGCAGTATGCAGCTGGTGATGTGATATGTTGTTTTCATCATCGTTTTACAGGCGCAAATGCGTGACTTGGCAGGTTTTGTTGAGACAAGACAACAACTGCTCACCCTGAAACCAAATCATCGCATGAATTGGATTGGATTCGCTGTTGCCCAGCATCTGAACTACAAGTATGTTCTGACATTTGATACCAGTGTGTTATCATATAACGAATTTTCAGCTAGAAGTTGGATGTAGATTATTGTGTCTTTTCTATTCCTAATTTGACTATTATTGCTTTTTCCTTTTTTGGCCCTCAATAAATTATCTGGGATGGTAAATCATTAGAATTAGGATGCTCACCACATTGTAAGGTAGATACTCGTGAAAGCAAAATTTTCATTTGGTAATGTTGTAGAAGCCATCATTTATTGTTTGCCCGCAACACAATCAAGCAATTTGCTTGATAACGAGTCAAGCCAAGAGCCTTGATATGGTCTCAACTATAATAATGGTTCTTATAGTACAATAGATGACAAATATAACCCTCTATTTGGTAACATTAATTATTATCCATGGACAAATTTGGAAAATAGAAATAAATGGTACAATTTCTAGGACATGCTACAAAATAAATATAGACGGCAAATCATTGTCAAACACGGGTACTTATCCATTGTAAACAATATCATGTGCAATCACATCTTATATATCAAACGTGGCCTTGTTGTATGTGATTTTTTTTCCACGTATATGTAGATAAAATTCCCACTTTAATGCCCTGTTACTGTAGTTAGGTTTCCTTTTTTATAGTTTATAATTTGTTATTTATCAGTGGATCGAAGGCTGTTGATATCCTTGAAGCGTATGAAGGGACTCTTGAGGATGATTACCCTCCTGATAATGAACGCTGTGAGCATGGAGAGATGCTTCTGTACAAGGTATCAACCTGTATTAGCTCTAGTTACATGGTGGAAGATAATTGTATACCTACATATTCTTGAATATTTTCTGTTCTTTGCTTCCTCCTTGGGTGTAAAATTAACATATATTGGTGTTAGATGATGGCTTTATTGTACATTTAAGAGGCTGACATCTGGTTACCCTTTGGTAATGTATATGCTGGCACGAGATTGTGTTAGATTTAATCTGTAATACTTATTCCAATCACTAATACATGTCAATTCATGTTTTATCATAATAGTCGGTGCTGATTTAGCTACTGCTAGTATTTTGTCTGACGAGACGCGTCCTTACAGGGTGCTCGAATTATTCTTTTACTAGATAATCTGCATTTAGCAATAAAGTGATTGATAGTGGTATGTTTAGTTTTTGATCAACTAACCATGAGATCGTCAAATTCCTCTATAGTAATTAATGAGTTCCCTCAATATTAAAAGCGTATGTAATAGTTAAACCTGGATTCATGTGGAGTTACAATTTATTTGGCTTTTACTGTAATCTTTTGAGTTTCTTACCAATTGTTGACCATCCAAAATGATTGTGTTACCTTGCATGTTATGTTTCCATTCTTTCTGATTGAGATTTTGCTGTCAGATTTCCTTACTAGAAGAATGCGGATTGACCGAAAGGGGTCTTCAAGAGTTGCGCAAGAAAGAATTCAAAATAGTGAGTGGTAGTTAGCACATGGTTCATCAAAGTATGAATTTCATAACAGACTTACGCACTTTTGTTTTTCTTCGCTTTAGGTTGATAAATTAGCTGTCAAAGAGCAAGAAGTTTCTCTGCTTGAAAAGCTTGGCCTCTTTGATGAAGGAGAAGAATTGTACAGGAAACTCCTTTCAATGAATCCTGACAATTACAGGTATTTAGATATAGATCCTATATTTGATTAGAGTATCGTGTCATTTTTGTAGCACTAATTGTTATTTTATTATGATTAGTTGATTTTTTTGACCAAAACAATAGTTTTCTAAACATACTGAGTTTCTTGGGTTATGTTTAGTCATTGTCTGAGCAGAAAAGACTTTTTGATTTTTTTTAACCACACTTGTCTACTCCTAAATATTGGAGGAAAAAGGAGCAGAATGGTAGAAGAAATCAGGAAAAAAAGACTAGGAAGAGAAATGACTAAGCTCGCTTCTCGTAGCATCAAAATAGAAAAAAAGGGATTTCTTCTGGTTGATAGTTCCTTTGCTCCCAAAAAGACATTGTACGCCAGGGCTTGTTTGTCTCAGAACATTTTATTATAAAACATTTCATGTCAATAGGAGATTTGTCATGTCTTAGGGAGTATATGGCCAGTCAAATATTTGTTGGTGTTCCTGAACGGACCCTGCGTTTATGATTTCCTTAAAAAAAGCTTCAATACCGAACAGTCTCAAAACTATTTGATCGAAACTCATATTAAGTAATACTTTGCATATAGAAAACAGTCAAGACTTTTAGCAAGTTGAAAATATAATATTATGTAATTGCTATGTGCTTCAAAAGTTGCAAGTTGCCATGCAGAACTGGGGCACAACGAAGTTATATTATTACCTACGGTCCCACTATGAGAGATAGTAATATACTGAAATGAGGATCTTTTGGTAAAGTGCTTGTATTCTTGAGAAGAGTTTTAAAATGTTATCACTTCTTCCTTTCTACCATCTCTGTATTTGTGCATAAATGTGTCTCTTTGAAACTGTTCATCCATTAAACTGAGGCAGCTAATAGGAAAGTATAGGTGGATTGAAATTCAGGGTGTCCTATGCACATATAAGCTTAGATCTTTCGCTCTCGTCAAGCTTGAAGGTGTTAAGCTGATTTTTATTTCAGGCTTGCTAATTACAGATTCTTGATTCAGTTATTCTCAAAGATTATAAAATTTGGATTTGGACACGAATAAAAAAGAGCTTTTGACTTCTAAGCTTTCAGGAAATTGGCGAGCTCATTTTATTATTACTTTTTATTTCGTTGCACTCACGATATGGTTACACATTCTTCTTTTTGGAACTAATTGAAATGATTTATTTTGTATCTCTTACTTCTGGGCCTCTGTAATGAATTATGTTCGATCTCTATCTGATTACAGTAGATTTGATTGAAACAGTCAAATTTATTTGAAAGAACAATTCTTCGTACAACATTGCTAGCCACTAAACACTTCTTATGGGACGTCTGTAAACTTAGGTATTATGAAGGTCTACAAAGGTGTATGGGTCTGTATTCAGCAAATGGTCAGTATTCTTCTGATGATATTGATCGACTGGAAGCCTTGTATGTATCACTTAGCAAGCTATATAGCAGGTCATCTGCTGTCAAGGTGATGCGCGTTCTTTCATTGACTTGCATTTTTTCCCTTGCAACTTTAGCATATTCTTTTGTTAGTTATTAGTTCCTTTGATTTTTAGTCTAGTGGTAAGTGTGGTCTGCCTCGCAATCAAGTTCTTCTCATAATTAGAAGTTGAAAAGATGGCCACTTAGCCTCGTAATTGGTGTTTTGACTTGTAGATAACGTCTCTCATCGTAATGCACATAGGAGTTTCTCATTTTTTAATAATTTGAATTACAATAAAAGTAACTACACTAATTTTTGTATGATTTTTTAATGTTTGGTGTCTGCAAAATTTTAAGTGATGATTTTCTCATGCAAAACATTTGTGTTAAACAGGAATGGTTATGCATTGCATTGACGATTTCCTTTGTAAAACTCTTGTGACAAAACCAATTCATGCACTGTCCTCAATGCACCTCTAGCAACAATATTTTTTCCTCAATGCCTCTTCATCACAGTTTATCTGGCCTTGGTTATATTAGAGCCAAGGTTAAGGGGTCAAACCCTGCCCCTCCTTACTTTCCCCTTGTAACAGGTTTTGGATTTTTGGGACCAAAACAATTGATTTTTGCCAACATGGAAATCATTTTTCAATGAAGTGAAGTTCAAAATCATAAAGTTTCTTATGATATACTCTTTAGTGCTCTAATATTATTTCTTATTCGATATTGCACAGAGAATCCCATTGGACTTCCTATGTGCTGAAAAATTCCGTCTAGCTGCCGAAAATTATATTCAACCTTTTCTGACCAAGGTACCCATCCTAAGTTGTATAATGACTACTTGTCTATTTGTTGAAGCATGACTTATCCTTTTATTTTGTGATGCATATGTAGGGCATTCCTTCTCTATTTTCGGATCTCTCATCTCTCTACGATCACCCTGGAAAGGTTAGCTGGTTTCTGTTTATAAATGATGACTAATTCCTTGGACTCAAGGATTAAAATATTTAGGATAGTCTATTAAGAGTTAATGTACAACTCTTGCACAGGCAGAGATTCTGGAGCAGTTAATTCTTGAGCTAGAGCACTCCATCAAGACAACTGGTGGATATCCTGGGAGGTAATAATTCGTCTCTACTCTAGTGTAGAGAGTCTTATGTTAGAATGTTCGTTTTAATGAGATTTTGTTGTTCTAGCCTCCTGTTCTTTGCCTTTATTTTATATAATTGTTATAGTTTACTTGTTAGCCATTTGTTATAATATTGGACATTACTAGCATATAATCTGAAAATTTATTCGCAGGCTGGAGTAGCTATAGAACCATGATCAACTAATATTTTTTTTATCTGTTATACCCAATATGTATGTCAGTTTTGAAAATCCTCTTCTATGTATTCATCTTACAATGCATTCAACATGTTCGGTTATGATTTTGTTCTCTTAAATTTTGGCATGAAGCACCACCTCATTGACGCCATTGTCTTGTATGGCGTATTATTTTTTTGCATTGTATTTTTCTGACTGGGTGATATGAGTTGAAACTTGAATAGGATGGATGACTTATCATAGATAATATATTTGACTTTGTTCAGGTCGGAGAAGGAGCCTCCTTCAACACTTATGTGGATTTTGTTTTATTTGGCTCAGGTTTGTACTTATCCATATTTTCTGAGGTTTGTACTTGTTAATTCTGCTTACATTGTTTGTTATGTTAAGACTTTTTGATTTCATAATATCTTCTTTTATACAGCATTATGACAGACGTGGTCAGTATGGTATTGCACTCACAAAAATTGACGAGGCCATAGAGCACACTCCAACCGTCATAGATTTGTACTCAGTGAAGGTAATAAATTGTTAATCATCTAATAACAACCTTCTTGGACTCTCCTTCAAAACCTTCTAGGATAATCGTATCTGAAGCTGATTTATATGACTGTAACCAAGTGTATATTTTGTCTGAGGAATTTCTGCTTATACATTGGTTTTTTGTCTAGCTTTGTTTTTTGATCGCATTATGTAGAGTAAATCATTCCATTTTTTTTCCTAAGAACTCATCTTCCAGAATCACATTACGGTGAAGTGTGATTTGGAGGAGAAATCATGTACACTAAATACATTTATCTCCAAATATAAAATGTATGTTATTCTTGAAACTAAGCTTCACTCTTTTCAAAATTTATATGCTGCTGTAGGAACTAAGCTTCACTCTTTTCAAATTTTCTAGCTTTAGTATTGTTGATACGACATCCCTCTAGGTTTCGTTTTGTCAATTGGCATAAGGTTTATCTTTGAGTCCACTGGGGTTAAGGTTTATTTTGAGTGGTCAACTTCTTAGATTCCCATTTCAGCCTCATATTGTCTGTGTTTCACACAACTGTCTAAGTTAGAGAACCCATTTACAGTTATTTGTATAGTAATTTCATTGCGATAATTAACGCATATTTATGTGGTCCTTGCTCACCACAGAGCCGGATACTAAAGCATGCCGGTGACCCAGTAGCAGCTGCTGCTTTGGCTGACGAAGCTAGATGCATGGATCTTGCCGATCGCTACGTGAATAGTGAATGCGTCAAGCGTATGCTACAAGCTGATCAGGTTTGCTGTTATCATGTGTCCTTTTTCCTGTAATGTTAGTATCATATTACGTTAGGCTTTTCCATATTTAGATTCATTCCTTTATTATTTGCTTACGTTTGATATTTCAAATCTAGGTTACATTGGCAGAAAAGACAGCCGTTTTATTCACAAAAGATGGGGAGCAGCACAATAATCTTCATGATATGCAGTGCATGTGGTGCGTATTTATTTTTTCAAGTTACTCTAAATTCCTTGAAAACATATCCATGTTTTGTTGAATCAATATTACTGTAAATGTTCAAAGGTATGAACTAGCTTCTGGAGAAAGTTATTTTCGCCAAGGAGACCTTGGACATGCTTTGAAGAAATTTTTGGCTGTGGAAAAGCATTACGCAGACATTACAGAGGACCAATTTGACTTCCACTCTTACTGCTTAAGGAAAATGACTCTTCGAACCTATGTTGAAATGCTGAAATTTCAAGATCGCCTTCATTCATACTCTTATTTCCGCAAAGCAGCTGCTGGGGCCATAAAGTATTGCTCTCTATTCTCTCTACTATTAGATTTGTAGTATTTTAAACTCAATTTTGAAGCCAGCTGCGTAACAAATTCGTAATATTATTTGATATGCAGATGCTACTTGAAGTTGTATGATTCTCCTCCAAAGTCATCTGCAGAAGAAGATGAAGAGATGTCAAAGTTGCCCCCTTCACAGAAAAAGAAATTGAGGCAAAAACAGAGGAAAGCTGAAGCCCGGGCTAAGAAAGTAACCAGCTTTGCTGCCTCACCTTTTTTTTGAAAATATTTTTTTTTTCTAAATAGTTGTGCGCTAATGGTTGCATTTATGTAGGAAGCGGAAGTTAAGGAAGAACCTAATGCTACTGCTGTTTCAAAATCTGGAAAACGCCCGGCCAAGCCAGTAGATCTGGATCCACACGGAGAGAAATTACTGCAGGTATATTGGTCCATTCATTGGCATAGTTGATTATAAATATTATAATCCTGTTTTATAAGCGTTTCTCTCCCTACATTCATTTGAACCGTTTTTAGAATATTTTACCACGGATAAAGAATATGTTGTAGGTCGAAGATCCCTTGGTGGAAGCTACAAAGTACTTGAAGCTACTTCAGAAGCACTCTTCTGATTCCATACAGACCCACTTACTTTCTTTTGAAGTTAATATGAGAAAGCAGAAAATTTTACTTGCATTGCAGGTGATGTTATGCTTCTCCTATTCTTGTGGTGTATATCACACTTCTTAGTCCTGGGTTTTGTTAGCTGAAAACTTGGTTTGTGTAAAATTGTGTTATTCAAGCTCCTCTTTTCGTTTGCCACAGGCGGTTAAGCATATGCTGCGGTTGGATGCCGATAACCCAGATACACATCGTTGTTTGGTATGTTTAATCAGTAATATATCACATTTATTTCACTAATTTAGTGCAAAAATGGAGGACACTCCAATTTCTGCATGCTTTACGTATAGTTTCTTGATTTTAATCATTTTCCTGAAGGACACTATTTTCTGTTTATTGCACTTTTGCAGATAAAATTCTTCCATAAAGTGGGATCCCGTCCTGCTCCAGTAACCGATGCTGAAAAACTCATCAGCGGTGTCATAGAAGCTGAACGTCCTACATTTAGGTACTTTGACGTTTGTTTCGTGAGAATCTCTTTCCAAATTATTTGATATAGCAATTAATTTTCTACCCATTATTATTGCTTTGGTTTTTGAAAAGTTATCTCGTGTTATATGACTTGCTTTGCTTTTGTAGTCAGTTGCATGGGAACTCTCTAATTGAGGCAAACACCCTTTTCCTAGAGAAACATAGAGGTCATAATCTGCGACGTTTGCGTATATGTTGGTTTGCTTATCCTTATCCATATTATTATATTAGTTTTTTGTTTATTCTTGGCAGATTCATTGAGGCACAGAGCTGCTGTAGCAGAAATGATTTTTGTTACGGAGCCAAGCAGGAAGAAAGAAGCCATTAGCCTGATAGAAGAATCGTCTAGTGACCTACTTCCACAGTATGCTACTTGATACGATGTTATTAATTTCACTGTTATGAAGCATTTTCTTGAGGCATCGAGTTTGATCTTTTTTTTTTCCTTTCAGAAATGGAGCACCGCTTAAGGATTGCACTGCAGTCCACAAACTATTAGGCACAGTTTTGGACGACCAGGATGCTGCATCAAGTAAGTCTTTTCCTTTCCTCTGTGCTTTTATGTTGCTCCTGCTACTGAAAGTAATGCTTGTAACTTTGCTAATCGGAGCGATCATTGGTGATCGATTCTCCTTATTATGTTAATTTTGTTGCTATTGCAACATTGTTTGCATCTTCACATGTCTTAGAATCACTTAAAATATTGGATATTGAACCGTGAGGTGGATATCAAAAAAATAACTGAAATGTTGAAAAGAAAGAATATGCTCATATATGCATGAGGTAGACAAAGCAAGACTCGAGTACTGTGTCCAAATTTCACTGGCCTGAACTTGCTACTCTATTGCAGGATGGAAAGTTCGGTGTGCTCAGTACTTTCCTTACTCTACCTACTTTGAAGGCAGCCACAGCTCAGCCGCTCCAAATTCATCTTACCGTCAAATTCCCGAACTATCCGAAAATGGCAGCCCCCTAAACATCTCATCCAATGGAAGTGTAGAGAATTTGGATGCACTCAAGGATCTAGTCATCCGATAAAAATAGTCAATGTGGGTCCCACACATGGCTATTATTTCTCGAACAGATCCCCATATGCCAGGTCGTTGAGCGAAGAAAATAATAATTCAATGTTGCGGCTTGGAAGCTGAGGAAACTACGAGAGAGAACGATTTTCGAGTTTGATAGAATTGCAGAGTTTACGTGTTTAATCTGAATTTTCTTTTCTTTTCTTTCCGTTCCATCTTACTGGTATATGCCATTATATTGCATATACGTACAACCATTTTGTTTTTGGCAGTTGGATTGTACATTTTTTCGTAAGCAAGAATTTTATGTACTCAGGCATAGAACCACCACCATACCCAATAGCTATCATACTTTGGAAGCATGTTGTATTTTTCTTAATTAAATTTGAGCAATTTTAGTTGTGATGTATAAAATGCTACTTTTAATTTGAATTTTGTTTGGGTATTCATATACTATGAAGCCTGATTCATGCAGCTACTGTGTTTGGGTCTAAATATTGAAGAATATAAAGAAGGGTAAATAGCACTTAACACCATGTGGTTTGATACTTGGGCAACGGACCCCTTATACTTTCAATATTAGTAGCATATACCTCCCTGTAGTTTTGAACTTTGTGCACATGACAGACCCCTTTGTACTTGTAATATAACCACATAACCTCCTATTATATTCACTTGGAAAATAAACATGTTCGTCAGGAAGATCAATTTTGTGAGAGTGTTATATGTTTATATTAAAATACAAGGGGTCTTGTGCTATATTGAAAGTACAGGCGCTTATGTTCACAAAGTTTAAAGTTTAAACCACAGTAGATACTAGGGTAAATTCTACTTTTCCCGCTTGTACTTAGGCTCGATATCACTTTACCCCCATTCTACTTTCAATTGCATCGATTTGCCCCATATACTTGAAAAAAATGTCTCAATGTGCCATCGCCGTTAGTTTTAAGATCTTTGACTTTAATACTGTTTGATCTAAGTCTGAAAATTACAAAAAAACCACCCATCCCATTGTAATAATTATTAAAAAAAAAAAAATTGTGGCTGGCGTCGTGGACTACGCTTTCTCGTTGGCTTGAATTTTTTATTATGTTTTATTTTTTATTAGGGCCATATTGAGACAATATTTTCAACAAGTGGAAAAGTAGCGTTTACGTTTAATTATATGACAACAAATGTCATTCTCATTCCATTATAATTTACTTGTTTTGTTATTGAAAATTAATTAATATTATTCTAGTTGGGTTAAGTTTTGGACTTCTTAACCTCCCAATCTAAGGAAAATTGACTGGTAGATGGTAGGGTCAAAAATTGTCGGACCGTGACATGGAGCTATCACCGTAATCCACTTTGTTCGAATCAAAATCCAAATCTAATTCGTATGATATCCTAAACCTATTACATCTACTTAAGGGGCCACATGGAGCTATCTCCGTAGTCAACCTCTCTGGAATCAATATCCGAATCTGATTCGTATCTCATCCTACACCTATTACATGGAGTCGATGTTTGTAGGAAAGTACATGTATTGATGTCTTGGATTTGCTAGATGATTACAAATGAAATTCCTACTCCTATTTATACTAGTCCACCTCTTTAATGGACGGTGGAGATCTATTTGATCTAATGGTTATGAGTGGTTCTCTAGAACACTCCAAATAATTCCTACAAAATATCTACAAATTGAGCATTCTAAAAAGTTTTCTAGAATCTCTACCAATCTCTATATACACTTGGACCAACTTGAGACTACCCTATTTGGGCTAACTTTTGGACTTCTTAACCTCCCAACCCAAGAGAAATTGGCAAAGGATTGGGCCAAATCTGCCGAGCCGTGACATGGAGCTAGACACGGCCCAGAACCGGCCCGTTGACGAACCGGAACGGTGAACCGACCCCTGTCCCTCGAGTCGGGCCCAATTCTAGAAATAGGTGAATCGTAAACCGCCGGGCCGGCACGACGATTCACCCGGATTTATTAAAAAAAAAAAAAAAAGCTGAAAAAGGCTTGAAAAAGTTGAACCACCGTTATTTGCTATTTTTTGAATCCCCCATTTTTTCCTATAAATACCATCACACCGCATTTTTTCCTATAAAATTAAGTTCAAGTCCTTTTATTTATTTCCTTTTGTTTTTTTCCTATTTAAAAGTAATTATTTTAATTTATTTATCCATCAAGTATTTTCAATATATATATATAAATTTCTGGGACGGCCCGGATAGGCCCAGAACCGGAGTGAACCGGCGGGTCGGCCCGACTCGCCGAACCGTGTGTAGTACATGCCGGTTCCGGTTCCGAAAAAAGTGAACCGCGAACCGCAGTGAACCGGCCCATGACCGTATCTACATAGAGCTATCTCTGTAGTCAATCTCTCTGGAACCAGAATCCGAATCTGATTCGTATCTAATCCTAGACCTATTACATTTGAGGAGCCGAGAGCACTCCATATTAAACATATAAAAATGTATATTATTCAACACACACACGGAATTGAGTGGAACTTCACCGACCGATGCATTCAGAAGATGAAGGATGAGTTTGATAATTGCGAGGCCAAAATCTCTCTTAAAGAGGGATAAACCCGAGGCATATGCACTACAAGAAAGTTCGCATTTGGCTACAACGAATTTCGTTGAGAAAAGTATATAATTTTGTTGCTAATTCCATTCGCAACGAAAATAAGTCGTTGCTAGCTTCGTTGTCTTTTATTTGTTACGGAAAGTTTGGGGCAACGAATTAAAAGTTGTTGCCAATACATTTAGTTTGCGCAACGAATTTATGTCGTTGGCAACTATTTTTCGTTGCCTATACATTTAGAATGCACAATGAATATATTTTGTTGGCAATTATATATCGTTGCCAATGTATTATGTATACATAACGAATTTATTTTCGTCGCCAATAGTATACACAACGAATTTATTTTCGTTGCCAACGAATTTATTTCATTGCAAAATTATGGTCCGGATTTTTATCGAAGCCGGACCCACGTCCGCCAACCCGACCCACATCCATTGGACCACCGAGCCAAGCCGGACCCACATCCATTGGACCACCGAGCTGCTTCGGAATATGAATAGTTGGGTCGAACTCACGACCGGCCGGACTGATAAATGTTAAATATATGAAAATATGACAATGGTAGAAATTGAACCCTGGTTGATTTGAAGTTAGAGCCCCTTCAAACCGCTGGGCAACATTATATTCTGCAAATTGGCTGAAAATAAATTTATAAAAACTAAATAGACAAGGAAAAATGTTTAATATAGTTATATAAATAAATAATATTTTTTATCATATTTTATTATATATCATCATCATAATAATAATAATAATAATAATAATAATAATAATAATAATAATAATAATAATAATAATAATAATAATAAATTCAATAAATTAAAATCAAGAAAAAATAGTTGGTTTGTAAATTGGCAACGATTATATTTTGTTGCCAAATCACTTGGAACATTAACAAACGATTATATTTTGTTGCCAAATTACTTGGAGCATTTACAACAAAATATTTCGTTGTCTTTTATCACTTATTGGCAACAAAATAAATTTGTTGTCGTTGTATATGTATTTACTACAATTTTATATCGTACCAAAAAAAAAACACTATTTTGCAACAAATGAAGTTGTTGTCTTACATTAAATTCGCTGCGAAATATATATGATACTATTCACAACAATAGTTTTCGTTGTCTATGAGATTCAAAGGCAACAAAAATTTCTTGTTACAAAACGGTTATTTTTTAGCCACAAATACTATATTTCGTTGCTAAAATATAATTATTGGCAACGAAATTAATTTCGTCCACAAAGAAATTATATTGTTGCCTATTTTACATTTTCTTGTAGTGATGCTTGGACCCAAACCATGGCTTCAGCCGCTCGTTAAAAAAGTTATCCTTACCAGTAACGAACAGAAGATATAATGCGCTGCCGCCAACCTGAAACTTGAAAGATATCAAAAAAAATTTAATGGATGTATACATACATATAGATTCACCATAGACAAGACACATAAAGGAGTTAATATAAGTTACCACGAGAACGCTTTCTTTTAGTTGTGATGTATAAAATGCTACTTTTAATTTGAATTTTGTTTGGGGTATTCATATACTATTATTAAGCCTGATTCATGCAGCAACCGTGTTTGGGGTCTGAATATAATGAAGGGTAAATATCACTTAGCCCCTTCTGGTTTGATGTTTGTGCACATGGACCCCTAATACTTTTAATATAAACACATGACCCCCTTTTGTAGTTTGAATTTTGTACGCATGACCCCGTTGTATTTTTAATATAAGTACATAAACCGCCTATTGTACTTTACTTGGTAAATAATCATGCTCGTTAGGAAGATAATGTTTTTGAAAGTATTAGGGCTTATGCGTTTATATTAAAGTACAAGGGGTCATGTGCTATATTGAAAAATGCTATTTATCCCGTGAAGAAACACATGTATAAATACATTCTCAGCCCATTAAGGCCCAATTGGTCCATTGATAGCCCATTGACTTTTGACCTTTATTAATCCAGATTCTTAAACGCCGTCGTATGGGGTTGTACATGTAGATAGTTAAGTACCTATTTAATTAAGGGTCTATTAGATATAACCCCCTTAAACATTCAAATAATAGGGGTAGACTCAAACTTAAATTTGCCATTTTGATAAAAACCCAAACTTTTCTAAATTACATAATTACCCTCAATCAAATCCCACAAATCCCGTTACTTTACCTTTTGAAATAATATCAAATCTCTCCCTATTTTCCCGTTAAAACACTATCACCACAAACCCACTATCAAAAAAACTGCAAAACCTCCCAAAACCAGAAATTTGCACGGTCGTGGATCGGCGATTTTTCTGCACTCCGACCAAGCCTCCGTAGGTACGTCGTCGCCACTCGCTGAATCGCTATCATCCATCGATTTGTTGATATGTTTTGGCTAAATCGACTATCACGTTTGTGTAATTGCAGATCTGTTATAATCGCATACCGAATTCGAGCACTAAATCAGTGATATTGCAACAATTGATGGGCAGGACATCCACCAGAAGTGATATCGTCGTTGGCCGCCGTCGCCGTCGCCGTCACTGCTCCTATCTAGGGTTACTCAAATCTATGATTACTCAAATTTAGGGTTTTGATAATTGTTCGGCCCATAGTTGATTAACGAGATGCATAGTCGAATTACATCTGTATTAGTATACTATCCCATATCATTTAATAGACTATCCCACTGGTATAATTTTACTATGGATCTCGTTAATCGACTATGGGCCGAAGAATCATCAAAACCCTAGATTTGAGAAGTGACGGCGGCAGATTTGTGTTTTAAAATTAATAGACTATCTCATATCTTTTAATAGACTATCCCATGTATCTAATTCGACTATGGGTTTAGTTAATTGACTATTGAAAAAATAATAATATATATGAAAACTGAATAATATGTTTGTTTGAAATACTAATCAATTAGGGTAATTTTCCTTATTATATGAAAACGATTAGGGTGAATAATAATATATATGAAAAAATAATAATATATATGGAAACTGAATAATATGTTTGTTTGAAATACTAATCAATTAGGGTAATTTTCCTTATATCATGTAATAGACTATCTTATTGATCTAATTCGACTATGGATCTATGAATCCCGTATTATTCAACCACATAGTATATTAATATTTTCAATATAGCACATTAATCTGCTATGATAGTATATTACGGTTATAGTAGTGATATGAAATTGTGTTACAAACAATATACCACTGAAATGACAAGAACATTGAGAACAACACCAACGTAAAGTATTCCAACATAACCAATAAAATAGTACATTAATAATCTCATAATTTCAATCTAGGGTTTTGATAAAATACATAAAACACATCATAACACAATCAAACCAATATGTCGAGTTAAAAAACTCTAGTACATTAATATTCTCATAATAGTATAATAAAATGATAATGGTAGTATCATACGGTATTCATAATAGTATACTACTGTATTACAACGGTTTAACACTTAACCGAAGTTACCGAGCCATTACATCGTAAACACCTCTTTATAGCAACCAACCCACCAAACCTCAACAAAATCCGTACGAAATTCGCCATCGAAAAAACCTAAAATCATGAAACAAAATTAAAAATGCATAATACTAAAAAATGATTAAATAGACTGCAAATACATTTGAATGATAATACATTAATATCATCAAAAATAAACTTAAAATGCAAAATCCATACGCTAAATTAAAAAAGACTACGAACTATATTTTAATGTACTACCCAGCACACTTAAATCGGCTGTTATAAACAAATAAACCAACTATCGATCGGGATAAAAAACATGAACTCGACCACAGCGGACAATTATTCCGATTATTGCATAAACCAACTACGAAACTCATATAAAACAACTCTGGTCCGATCTGCGTGAACCATCCTCTTCTAACTCTGTCAATCCTCTTCCAAACAAACATCATCCGCAAAAAATAACGATGTATATATGACGACGTAATTTTGTTAAAAAACATTCTACTTAATAGAATCAATTATCAACACAACTCTTAAAAATGTCTAACCACCGTACACGACAATCCTGTACATACAGCGAAAATAAAAGCGAAAAAGACGCATTCATACCCGCTTGACGGTGAAGAAATCTTCAAAGGCGATTAAAACGATGGAACGCTGGATAAATCTTCAAAAAAAATCTGTACACGATTTGATAGACACGATTTGATAGAACGGCCAATGATCTCACGTAAATTTATTCCGTGATTTTAGAATCACGTATCAGCAAATCTCATATCACGTAGTTAAGGAAATAAATGCCGTTCAAAAATAAAACAGGGGTATTAAAGGGAAATTATATAATATATTTTGCCAAATTGGCAAATTTGGGTGTATCTCAAAAAGGGAAAAATTAAATGGATCTACCTCATTAGAAAATATGAACAAGGGGGTTATCCCTAATAAACCCTTTAATTAATTATAGTTTCCTTATAATTTACTTATTTTGTTTGTGAAAATTAATATGAGTATCAAGGGTAATATTGGTAAACGAGTAGTTAATGTATCATTAGTTATCAAATGTACAGTAATATGAAAAAAAAAAAAAAAAAACATATTTCTTTGATAATGATGTTGAAATGGATGAAATAAACCAAAATTAATTTTACATGAAAATTTTGTTCTGGTAATGTATTTATGGAGCTCCCCATTTTCTGCAAAAAAAGGTCTGTAGTTTTCTTCTGGTGTATGCTAATTTCTTATCACCCATTAATGCTAACGTGTACTGTGTACGTATCTGCTTAAAAATCCCAGGAAATACGAATTCCCTGACAAAATATTTGAAAATATACAATTTCTTTTTTTTTTTTTTTAGTCACGCGTTGCGTCTGTTCAAGTTCCACTACCCTGTCTGAAAACTGAAGATAGAGAGAGAGAGAGAAAATGGAGAAGAAGAGAGGTAGACCACCGAAAGTGAAGGAGGGCAGACCGATAAAAGTCAGACAAGTTAATAATGATGAAGAAGATCAGTTACAATTACAAAGCAGCCGCAAGAATGGTGAAACACTGACCTACGGCGGCGCGTCTTCTTCACCGGTACTACTTTTCTCTCTCTCTCTCTCTCTCTCTCTCTCTCTCTCTCTCTCTCTCTACCCCCACTGTCTGGGATCTTGGGTTCAGCCCTTGTATTTCAGTGTTACACTACAAAAGGTTCAATTGTTTTTATCTCTCTCTCAGATATGTTGTGTTTGCATGTGTGTGTGTTTTTATTTTCAATTTTTTGGGTTATATATATATATATATATATATATATGGTGAATTGCTTTCATGATGAGTTCATTCTATATCAACTATGTTCACTTGCTTTGTTAGGGTTACCAAACTCGATATTCGAAGGCACTTGCAGAAAAAGAAGCAAATCCTTCTCAAAATCCCACTTTATTGCTGGTGAAGCAAATTCTCTTTCATGAGAACGGGTTCGGAGCGAAAAGACCCGATCCAGTCAGCAACGACGTCCCGGAGGAAGCCCCGTTGTTTATTTCGGAATCTCCGGTTCGAGCTGATGAGGTACATCAACTTTGTAGTTCAATTTTGCTTTGCCCTGTTCTTGTAGTACACTACTTACTATCTTCATCATTATTAATTGGAATGGCCTTTCCGATTCCGATGCGAAATTCTCGATTTTGGAACTATATTTTCATTCCGAACTCCAATACGATTCATAATTTTGTTTTTGGATCGGTTTTGGAATTTAGATGAGATTCCGATTGTCGGTCCGATTTTAATTTCCGAAAATTCAGAACAAGTTTTTCCCTATCCAATTTCCGGAATTCCGAATTTCAATTTTCCCGAATACTTTTGAAACGGAATTGGAATTAATTTTACACTTTTGAAAAAAAATGGATTTTTTCGAAAGGGCTAATTCTGATCCGAAAAGTCCGATTTCCACCCCCAGCTATTAAGAAACAAAGTAATCATATGGATTTTAAAGATTAACAAAGCATGTTGATTCATTTTTTTCATTTTCTTTTTTGCGATTCAGGAGTTCCGTTCTCAACAAGAGAATATTTGTTCCGACAGAACTACAAATGTTAATGTACTCGATTTGAAGAAATTTACTTTAGATCTCCTTGCCCAAACTGATGAAGAACCCGAACTCAATGCTAATAATGCAGTCTCGAATATCTTTGTGGATAATAATAATAATAATAATCCCGAAAAAAATCAATTTGTCGATTTCGACGAGTACAAAGTGAAGGAGGACATGATCCCACTTCTAAAAGCTATTTTCGCTAAATACGGCGACATTGTCAAAGAAAGCACTTTTTCGAAAGAATCACGCAATTGCCTCTTGGAGCTGGTTTGCACCATTTACGAGAGGCTAAAAGCTTCGAAGCTAATGCAGCTAAAGCCATTGGAGATGGAATCTATTTCAGGTCAAATTGGAGATCTCGAGATTGTGAAGGTGAAAGTCGGGTGGCTTCGTAAAAGGCTCGACTTGATAGTCAAGGCAAGGGAGCTTTGTGAGGGTGCTTCGAGTCTTGAAGAAGCTGAATCGAGAGTCATGTTGGCTGTTGAAGAAAAGCTGAAAGCCGTGGAAAGTTTCGAGAAAAAGGTGGCAGCTGACGTGGCGGGTGTCGAGAATTTGCAGAGGAGGATACGGTATGGGAAGGATGAGGTGGCGGTGCTCGATAAGATTATCGACTTGTTCGATGGGTCTTTGGTTGATGGAATTGTTTAGTAGTAGTGTTGTTAACTCTTTCGACTTCTTTTGGTTTAGAATTTTGAAGTCGATGAGAAGATTAGCAGTGTAGAAATATAATTTAGTGCAAGTTTTCGGGAGATGCGTACTTTTGGTATTAATGCACTCGGTATTTATTTCGTCGTATATTTTTTTATTTTGTCGTATATATTTTGGGACTGTGCGCGACGCTCTCGATGAACTCATCCGAGATAATATATAACCCCAAAATTTCCGGTAAGGATTTGGAGTTTTTAAAAAAGAAATTGAAGAGGTTTGTCGGGATGCGAGGTGTTTGTCCGGGGGATTCGGTCTTCTTGGACAAAGGATATCACAGTTATTTTATAGAGTTACTCAATTTGTCATATAGATACGACTTGGAGATTCGCGGGTTTCTACGGTGAGCAGAATGCTCGATTTAGATACAAGTCTTGGAGGCTTTTGAGACTCGTATATACTCAGTCAAACAAACCTTGGATATATGTGCGCACGAGATTTCACTTCTCTTCTTTCCATAACCGAGAAAAGTGGGGGAAAACAACGGTAGCATATACCGATATTAATGATTTGAGCGAATGCTTAAGGGAATCCGTATTGTTCGATCTCGGTTTCATAGGTTACTAATTGACTTGGTCGCATAATAGAAAACATCCGTTTTCAATCATAGAACGCATTAATAGGGCATGCGCGACGAATGAGTGGCGAAGCCTCGTTCCGAAATTCAGAGGTAGTTCATCTTGAGACACTTACTCGGACCACGTCCTAATCCGAATTGATAACAAGAATAGTTCCTCGATAAAGTAGAAATGATGTGGCGTCAAAGGTCTAAAACTGACCACTGAATGCAGGAGATGATATTATATGTAGATCAACAGTGTAAATTAAAAGTACATGGTGTATTATTTTCAGCGGGTGTAGATTCTACAAAATTAGGGTTCAACGCTGCAATTAATCTTGAAACGACTATAAACAAACAATTAGACCATGTTTGGACATGAAAAAAATTGTTATATGCATGTTTCGGTAATAATATTTAATAATAAGATTCTTGGAACATATAATAATTAGTTGGGTTTTGTTTGTCTAATTGTCCATCAACCAAACACGCCATAGTATATAAATCCCATAATTATGCAAGGGAGACAACTCCCATCACGTGTGCCCTATATTCATATCTTAAACTTAATTCACTTGTCTTATTTCAGGAAACATATGCCCGGTTGGGAAGAGACATTTACTTGTTACATAAATTTACCATATTCAATACTATATATTATTAAAATTACAAAAAAAAAAAAAAAAAACAAACAAAAAAATTCCTCATTTAATAAAAAAATAATAAATTTATATACGAGAAAATCGAGATGATTTAATCCATAGTTAAAGACATAAAACAACAGAATCTCTTGTTTGGAAAAAAAAAAATTAATAATAAATATAATCAAGAAAATAATCATTTGGTGGGGGTATATATATGTATATATGATATATCAACAAATATTATAAATAAATTATATTGTAAGCCATGTGGTCTGATTAATAAGATCAATTATATTATAATTAAAAGTTTATATATATCGATCATAAGATCAATTCTTGAAATATATTGTTGTTAGTCGTTACCGTTATAGTTCTCAACTGTCGTCATAATTGAGATTTTATATCCTATTTGTCTGTGTTTTTTTCAAGAATATTATATGTGCACTGTTTAGAGATCCTAATTTAAATTAAAATAGTAATAAATAAAATTAGATGATCACATTTGATTTGATACATGTTTGAGGTTTTTTCTTTTTATTTTTTAATTTTATATTTTATTTTGATGTTTATAAATATATATGTACAACTGTGTGTGTGTGTGTGTGTGTGTGTGTGTCCAGTTGGTCAGTAATTGAACGCGTAAAATAAAGAAAAATAGGTGCCCAAAATTGAAAGTCCATTGGGAATTTAAATGGGCCGGGCCCACTGCCCTTTTTGTTCCTTGTTGGTCAGACATTTTGAAGTGAACTCTCTGACTAATTCACTGCATCCAGGCTTTTACCAGCTACGTACCTCACCTTCAACTTAATTAATTAATTCACCATTTTTTTTTCATTATGCTCAATTATAAGTTTAATTTTATTCAAATTCATTTCAGTCAATGCTGACATAATTAAAATAAATAAATTTGTTTCAGCTAAAATTCATCTTAATTTTTTGATGGGTGGGCTAACTAGTATAAATTGGGGTATACTAATTAAATAAACGAAAATGCTATTATATATATGGTGTGAATTTTTTTTTTCTTTTAAATTGAAAATGAGTTAGAGTTCATCCTTGTGCAAGAATATATTTGCCGACAACAGTTCATTAAATTAATTATAACTAGTATTTTTCTACATACGATAGACGGAGGAAAAAAATATCAGGAAAACAATAATCGTGAAAATAAAAAGCGGATAAAAAAAAGAGAAAAAAGTAAGATGGAGTGTAATATAGAAAACGAAATTTGTTTCTAAACCAATATTACAAAAACACCATTAGGGTTACCTTTAAGTTGCCTAACGTTAATTCATTTAATTGTTTTGTCAGCAATTGTTCACGCGAGGAAGGTCTGAGTATGAACAGCTCACAATCGAATGTAGTGGGTGCTGGTGTTTGCTGAATACACTATAAGTTAGGGTTTTCGATTTTCTTGACGTCATCGTTGTTTTTATGACAACTGATGACGTCAGAGATCTTACTAGTACTGGTATCAATGCGAAGGTCACAAATCCGATTACCAACTGAAGCAAATAGCAATTGCTTTAGATAAACCGAGGTTACGAGTTCGATTCCCAACTGAATCAATTGCTATAGATATCTAAACCGGGTTGAACTATAAGGAAAAGAATTGAAAATATTTATAGAATTTGACAAATTAAATTAGTAAACCAAAAAAAGATTCCACTAAGCAAACCAAACATGGCATAAATAAATTTTATCCGTTCCTCAAACATCATTAAACACTTTTCGCTCCTTGTTTCCTGCATGGACTAAAAGACGTACAAAACAAATTAAAGCATACATTAATTAATTGTGCTCACCATTAATTTAATAATAATTAATTAGTGATCCATCACCCACTACAATTAATCAATTAATAATAATAATACATTAATTTTTTTATTTATTTTGAAATTATATATTTAAGTTTGATGAACGAACCTCAATCAAGCACACCACATGCAATGTTCCCGCAAGAAGCAGATCCAACGGTCAAGATCAAACCCTCGAAACCCATCTTAAAATAATAGCCCTCCGATCGAAAAACCCATATCTAACTTTAATCTTGCCGGGCCATTCTAGTGTTTTTTTTAAAGCATACACTCCCCCACCATTGTTTCTCATGTGACCGACCATTAAGCTTTGCTTGACCTGGCATTGCCTTCTCCTTCTCTATACATACATATATATATACACGTATATATTCGATCGAAGATAACAGAAGAAAAATAAGTAAAAATATCTAAAATACCCTTGATTTAGAAAAAGAATGGCGAAAAACGGTTTAGCATTGGAGACTGAGCTGAGGCTGGGGCTTCCCGGCGGCGGTGGTGGTGGTGAGAAGAAGAGGGTGTTTTCGGATATGATATCCGGTGGGGAGGAGGAGAAGGCGGTGGTGGCAGTGGTGGGGTGGCCGCCGGTTAGGGCGTATAGGAGGAAGATAGGTGGTGGTGGGGTGGGGAAGATGTACGTGAAGGTTAGCATGGACGGCGCACCTTTTCTGCGCAAGATAGACTTGACCAATCACAAGTGTTACTCTGATCTTTTCGTTTCAATTGAACAACTCTTTGGCTGCTTTGGAATTGGTAAATTAATTCATTAATTAGTTAGTTATATAAATTTTGTTTGATTTAATTAATTAATTAGTTTCTCTTTTCGTCATCCTTGAATTTTTATTTATTTGTACTTATTATTTAATTTGGTTTGGGTGATTAGACCCTTGCCATGCAAAATTAAGAGCGGAATTTAAAATTAAAACAGTTTTAATTTTAAAAGAATAAAAAATCGAAGGGAAACCAAACCTCAAAATTAAATAGATTTAAAGCAATTTTAATTGTTTTTTTTGGTATTTATTAGAATAAATTGTTTATATAAAATAATTAATTAATTAATTTTGATTATTGAAATGTGAATAGAGGAAGCATTGAAAGATTCAGAGAACTCTGAGTACTCTCCAATCTATGAAGACAAAGATGGAGACTGGATGCTTCTTGGAGATGTTCCTTGGGAGTAAGTTTATTTATTTATTTTTTCTAATTAAATATTACGTTTTTATTTAGTTATTCTTTATTTTTTAATTACCCGATTTACATCGTCTTTTAAATGATAATTAATAAATATATATATATTTTCTCTCTGTATATATTTGCAAAATTTTTTAATTAACTACTAACAAATTATCATTTTAAAGAAAGTTAGCATTTTGAATACAAAGAATAAAAATAATATAGTAATTAATTCACTAGTTTAATTTTTTGATATGTTGTGAGAAAAGAGAAAGATAACACATGATTTAGTTAAATAAATCCTCTCTAAATGTTGGATTGGATCGACCCGTTCACTATCGGAGCTAGTATTTTAAGTTCCAGAGACCCGAATACACTAAAAGTTTAGGAGAGGGATGGGAGCGATAATGTTGGAGGGGCCATGGCCCCCTCTGACCAGATCGACCAATTAAACTATAAAATAAATTCGAATATATACAAATTAAAACGTGAAATTTGTTCATCATTTTTTTTATTCATTTTTTTTCTTTCTTATTTTTATTTATTCGTGGCCGACAAATGTGAAATTTGTTCATCATTAATATTGAATTCACAGACAGAAAATATGAGCCAGGCCACGTTTAATTTTCCAGAGACAACCTCATTTCCACCGAACACAATCATCAAATTCCCCGAAATTTATTTAATTTTTTTTCTATTTTTCTTTTCAATTGCCTCAAAACATATATGTAAATAAACAATAGTTATTTTCTAAAGACTTCCTCGTTTGCGCCAATGTTGTCAGAATCAAATCAGGTCGATGAATCGGTCCCATGGTGACCCAATTGTTAAAAAACAAATTGAACAAATAAAATCATGTTCAATTCGATGAAATCGGATTTTACATAATAAAAATGGATTTTTTATTTTTAGCTTTCTTATATTTTAATATTTAATTTTATTATCTTTACCTAATTAATATGTTGTTTTGCTTACGTGTAGGATGTTCGTAGATTCGTGCAAGAGGATGAGGATAATGAAAAGATCAGATGCGAATGGGCTTCAAGCAATTGACCTTCTCAAAGAGCTTGGCAAGAAGGACGATCGTTCTGAAAATTAAAATAAGTTGTTTTAAGCTACGTAATAGTAAGGGCATATCTGTCATTTCACCACCTTCTCTATGCACAATTAGCTTGTGATATATTCTTTGTACCATTAATTTCATAATTTAGCAGTGAGATGTAACTAATTAATTGCAGACTTGAGACTTATTAGAGTTGGCTTTTAATTAAATATTAATATATATATTTTTTATGAATTAATTTAGTTTGCATTTTTCGTTTTCGCAATTAGTAATTAATTAATGATTAAGTTATAAGTTTATCAACAACACTAATATATCTTGAGATTGAATCTGGTAGGAGCGAATGTACGTTCTTGATCACCCATGATCGGAACTGATTAAGTTCGTCGTACATGGTCTAGTGAACAGAAACATTGAGGCGTTATCGAACGATGGATTACTACGTTTAAACAATAAAACCTTATAATTAATTAATTAATCTGACGAAGCATGTAACGAGGACGAGTTCGTTGAATTCGGATCCCGAAGTTCGTTAACTTAGTTTTGGTGAAATAAATTAATTAAACCCTGTATACAATAATTCTAAGCTTTGAAAAGTGTAAACAATTAGCCAATTACTAGTACTTAAGATAAATTAATAAATTAATTACTTAATTAATTAAGATAGTGTCCCCTTGTCATGTACTAATCTTTGCATAATTCTGTTATGTACATGCATGTCAGGGGGCAAACACGGAATTCCAGGTTTATTGTGTCCAAACAAGACTTTGTATTTAGGTACATAAAATATGTATTTATTATATATATATATATATAGTACTAAATAAATACATTTTAGTCGCAGCTTGTCCCAAACTACTTTGCCACATACAACTAACCAACGAATATATTATGCTACATCGGATGAAATATACTGGATATATTTTTTTATCATTTGTAAGCATAAAAGCGCACACACCCATATTGATATGTGTAGATCAACGGTAAAAGTCCACCTGATGTAACCTTCACTAATTATTTATTATTTGTCTATGAAATCTCTTACTTCGCAAAATTAAAATAGGGGTTTAACGGGTGTAAAACTGCCTTTTTAATCATCCCTAAAAAATTAATCGCATGGAGTGAGGTGTCATAATTCAACGAAATAATAACAATTAACTGTGGGCTTCAATTTTACTAGCGAATTTAAGTAAATATGATGTTCAAAATCCCTGAAATTTCAAGAAGCAAAATCGAATTATATTTTGAAGCGGGTTTGTACTTCTGGGAAAAGAAAAGGTACAATTTTACGAAAAGTCCAATTTCGATCCAATTCCGTCCAACTTTGGCCCATAGTTTAGAATTAAGTGGCACTTTGATTTTTTTTTTTTAATAATACATTTTCGAATTCAAAATGATGCATTAATTATTATTTTTCCAATTTTGCCCCTATTATTACTTCTCGCAAACATAATGAATAACTAATGGAAAGAGACATTTTACGTGACACTTAATTTGAAACTAACTCTTCATTTTCTTAATTTTTTTTTTTTTTCTTAATTTGTTCTTCATGATAATTAATCCTTGATAATTATGATTATGAATAGAGCAAACGTGAATAAAATTTATATATAAAGAAGCAAACCGAGTTAGAGCCCGTTTGGCTAACCTTACTTTTAACAACTAATAAGCTCTTGCATCTAATAACTTGTTATAAAAGCTGATAAAATGTTACTTCTGATTTTTAAAATTAATATTTTAAGTGTTTGAATGATAAGCTTATAAATTTTTACTAGTTTTAAGATCTTAAATAAAAAAATGGGATATATATATATACACACACACACACACACACACGTACTTTTTGAAGAAAAAAAATATTTTATAAGCTCTTTAACAACTTTTTTTTTTTTTTTTTTTTTTTTTTACTTTTAAGATCTTTTTAGGAAACAATTACCAAACACTTTCAAAAAGTTTATAAACTCCTAACCAGCTTATAAGTTGTTTTTAATAACTTATAAGCTTAGCCAAACATTTAGTCTAAATATTCGAGATTAAAATAAATTAACCAAAAATATGTATGAAAAAATAAAATTTGGTAATAAAGGGATAATTAGCAAGAACCCCCTCATCTAGGTAAATGAGTTAAGAAAACACCCCCTTCCAAAAATAATTAGAGAAAACCCCCTTACCTAATATTCCACTCAAGTGATATTTTCATAATTCCAAAACTACCCTTAATTGTCTACTATACTCTTTCAAACCCTAATCTTATTTTCTCTTCTCTCCCGTCTCTTCTTTCCCCGTCCATTCTCTGTTTTTTTTTCTTCTCCATTTTATACTTTTCTCCCTCAATTCTTAGATTACTCTCTCTTGATCGGAAGATGAAGAACCAACCGGAACGGAACAACGATGCTAATTCCATGAAGCCATTGTCGTCGGTGCCGTCTCCTTCGGCGTCGCTGACGAAGTCGGGTCGGGGTCATCGTCGGCAGATCTTAATAAAAGCCATAAATTGTCGATTTGTCATCGAAATTGGATTTTTGATGGGTGGTGGTTCTGATTTGGTTGGTGGTGCGAGTTGTGATTTTATTTATTTATTTGTAATTAAAAAACCATCATAATATCAAAGTAAGGTGATGATGTGTGTTGTGACGGCGGTGTGGTGACGATGGGGAGGCAGATTTAGGGTTTTTTGGTGGATTGAACGGATGAAGGCGCGTGTAGAGAATTTCGCGCAGGCTGTTACCTTAATCGACTATGTACATGTTCATAGTCGATTAAGCTAATCGACTATGCTCTGGTAGTCGATTAAGGTTCATCGACTCCAATTTTTTTTATTTTTTTTGGATTTTTTGTTTATTGCTTTCAATTGTATAAATCATTTATAATATTTGTATATTTTTTGTTTTTGTTATATATAGTTGATTTTGTATTTTTTTCGCAGTTGTGATTTGTTATTTTTAGTAGCAGATTCTTAATCGGCTATGCTTCACATCATAGTCGATTACTATAACTAATATAAAACAAAAATTAAAAACAAAAAAAAAATTAAATAATTAAATAATTTCCTTAATCGACTATGAAGCATAGTCGATTAAGGCTAATCGACTATGCTTCATAGTCGATTAAGGAAACTGATACAGAAAAGACGGAAGAAAAAAACGGAAAAAAAAAAAAATCGCTGAGCGTGACCCAGTGATGATGTGGCGGGTGGGGGCAAAACTGGAAAGCATAATGACTGAAAATGGGTGTGAACTTTTCTCAAATGGACTAAAATATTTTGGGCCTCCCTCAATTAAAAAAAATAATGAGAAGGTTTTGTCAAAAAGCCTCAATAAAATAATAAAATATAAATATAGAGAAAATAACAACCTTTTCAGAGTTCCTAACAAATATATAAAAGACCAATTAAGGTAATTATTTTGTACATTAATTAAGGTAAGTAGAGTTGTAGTTGGATTCTATCTCTTCATACTAAATCGTGAAATAATTCGTGCAAACCGTATATACTATATAAACCCTATTGAACTCCATCTGCTCTACATTAATTCTCTCGATCAAACCCTAATTATCTCAATCAAACCCTAATTATCTCGATCAAACCCTAATTATCTCGGTCAAACCCTAAGACTCAAATCAAGAAAATTAAAGATGATGATGTTTGAAGCTCAATCATTCTACATACCGAAAGATAACCCATTGAAGCCATACGGTGAGGACGCTCACTTTATAAACAAGGCGGCGCAGGTGATCGGAGTTGCCGACGGTGTTGGCGGCTGGGCCAAGAAGGGAATCGACGCCGGCGAATACGCACGCGAGTTGATGAGGCATGCAGAAAACGCCGTCTACGACCGCCGCCCCGGCACAACGTACCCCTCGACTATCCTTCAAGAAGCTGCCCACCGAACGGAGGCGCCGGGCTCTTCCACCGCCTGCATCGTATCCCTCACCGCAGATGTTCTCATGGCGGCAAACGTGGGCGACTCGGGATTCGCCGTCATAAGGAAGGGCAAGACTTGTTACAAGTCGCCGGTGCAGCAGCACGCGTTCAACCACCCTTACCAGCTGGGGAATTCCGCCGCATGCGACGCGCCGGAGAAGGCGGACAATGTGTCGGTGAGGGTGGAGGTCGGCGACGTGGTGGTGGTGGCGACCGACGGGCTTTTTGACAATTTGCATCCGAAAGAAATCGAGGATATTGTGGACGCGTGCATGGATTGGAGTCGTCTGCCGGAGGACCTCGCTAGGACGGCCTACCTAAAATCCGGGGGTTTCGGCCACCGCCCCCGAGGCCCGTTTGCGGTGGAGGCACGGGCCGAACTCTTAGGCCTTGCCGAGAAAACATGCAAAGGGAAATACCGTGATGATTTTAAATACGCCGAACACAAATCCAAATACGGTCGTAATATTACCACCGGGGGCAAGAAAGACGACATCACTGTCGTCGTCGCACACATTGTGCCCTCGCATTTTAATAATCTAAGTAATTTGTGTTAGAAATACTATTTAATTTCTTCTTGCCGGATTTTTTTTTCTGATGATTGACAATTAATGTGTACGTTCGAAATAAATTTGAGTGAATTTTAATTTCTTCATAGGGTTGTTGATTTTAGTTATCTAAGTGATATGCTATATTAATCTAATTAATTCTAGAGTGTGGTGTTGACATTATATCTTCATGATCAAACATGACTTGCTATTCCAAAAGGGTGATCAATAGCTACCAATAGTTAGCGATTAAATTACGACCATCTTTTGAGGTAATTTTAAATTATGAAAATCCCATATGCTTGGGTGATACAATCAGTTTCTCAACTATGAATCTTCTTACAAGCCCACTCTTGCGATGTCAAATTTAGTGGAATCTTCTAGATTATAGTTTGTATCCGTTTTATTCCATTCGAGCTCTCATCTCGAAACAAGATTATCATAAAATGTGTCTATTAGCTTGAAAATATTAGATTGTGGTGCATCAAAAACTGCATTTCCACAACAGACTACTGGACTAGAGAAGGTAACATTCCACGAAATCTAAAAGATTCTGTTGAATTTGCCACCATAAGGGTGGACGCGTAAGAAAATTCATAGTTGAGGAGGGTGGCTGTAAATACCCAATCATGAGGGGTTTTTTCGTAATTTGAAATCACCTAAGGGCAATGGCCGTAATTTACCAATTTGGTCAAACCGTGAGTCAGAGGGCATTTTGTATAATTATGAATACCCGAGAGGCTTTTCCAAAATGAAACCATAATTCAGGGGTATATTGGTAATTTGATACACCAAAAAACCCAAAAAAGGGATAAATTGACCTAAATTGTAAAATTGGATAAACAGCCCATTGAATTGAATGATGAAATCAACGGCAATTCAATCACTCTGAAAAAAAAAACAGAGCACCTAAATTTTACCGTTAACAACCCACCGACACCCTTTGTGGTAGAAAATCGCTATCTCCAGATCATCTCTTCTCCCTCCATTATTCTACTAAAAGACCTGCTCTCTCAAATTCATTGAAATTTATGCAAAAAAAAATAAATAAATAAAGAAATCCCCAATTTTTTGTTTTTACTCTTCCGATCTCTTCTGGGTACATTTCAAGAAAACAAAAACATAAGAAAGGCGCGATCTTGATTTCGATTTCTTTGAATTAACCCTTGTTCTGCATTTTTTCCAATTTTCGGCGCAGGTGAAAGGAAAAAAAGAAAAAAGGAATTCCGACCATGTCAAACGGCGTCGTTTCGAGCAATCCGGATCCCATTTCGACCGATTCGCTGAAGGTGTTCATAGGTTACGATCCGAAGGAGGATCTCGCGTACGAGGTGTGCAACTACTCGCTGTCGAAAAGGGCTTCGATCCCGATTCAGGTTTCCGCCATCAAGCAAGGCGAGCTCCGGCAGAAGGGGGTTTACTGGCGGGAAAGGGGCAAATTGGAGAGCACCGAATTCTCCTTCTCCCGTTTCTTGACCCCGTATTTGGCCGACTACAAAGGCTGGGCAATGTTTGTTGACTGCGACTTCCTCTACTTGGATGACATCAAGAAACTGGCCGATTTGGTCGATGACAAGTACGCGGTCATGTGCGTTCAGCACGACTACACCCCCAAGGAAACGACGAAGATGGACGGTGCGGTCCAGACCGTGTACCCTAGAAAGAATTGGTCTTCGATGGTTTTGTACAATTGCGGGCACCCCAAGAATCGGGTTCTTACGCCGGAGGTTGTTAACAAGGAGACGGGGGCTTTTCTGCATAGGTTTCAGTGGCTGGACGACGATGAAATCGGTGAGATTCCGTTTGTGTGGAATTTTCTCGTGGGACATAATAGGGTTGTTGATGGGGACGAGAGCACTTTCCCCAAGGCGATTCATTATACGCTCGGTGGGCCGTGGTTTGAGCAGTATAAGGATTGCGAGTTTGGCGATCTTTGGTTGAGTGAGTTGGATGAGTATCGGAAAGATTCTTTGAAGAAGGCGGAATCTTAGATTCGATTGGTATTCGATGTGCCGTTTTTATTGATAACGGTCGTGTGTTGTTCCACATTTATTTCGTGTTATTTTTTTTTTCTAATTAGTGTTTTCGCATTGTTTGTTTGTGATAGTTTCGATTAATCGAGAATTCTTGGGATTGGATTATTGGGTATTTGTATTTTGGTGAAAGAAGTTCGGTGTTAGTGCGATTTGCTTGTTCTTGAGCGAATCTTGTTTGTAAGCAAAAAAATTGTTCGTCTGAAAGTTAAACTCTGGTTATACGACAAAGTTTGTTAGTTTGGACGATTTTTCTGTTGCTGTTCGATTGGCTTCCTTTGGTACCGATCTTTGTTTCTTCTCGGGTTTCGATTTTCTTTATTTTTTTGTGCTCAAGTTTGCTTGCAATATTATACGCAGCAATAAATGACATGAATGCTGATCACTATAGTTATTATGACATGCTTCTTTAAATTTTCTCATAGATCAGAGAGAGAGAGAGAGAGAGAGAGAGAGAGAGAGAGAGAGAGAGAGAGTAATGTGATCATAATGTGAGAGGTGGTAGCTGTAACTCTGTAACTGTAGAATTGATTGAAAAAGGCAAATTATTGGTATAGATCTGCTAACTATAACCAATAATAATAGCACAACATTATTCATCAGCATGCATTAAATATGTCAATAAAACTACATATATATCCTAAGAACACCCCCAAGAACAAGAACAATAACAACATTTTTCTTGTCTTTTATTAAAATCGAAGAAGAAGAAGAAGAAGAAGAAATGCAACCGCAGGCAGCACCAGCCTATCAAGGCATGTCTTACTCCGATCATGTCCAAAAACGTCGTCAAGAAAAAGGATGCTTCTATGCCTGGTTTGTGTGTGTTTTTTTTTTTTTTTTTTTTTTTTTTTTTTTGCGCGCTGAATTGAATTGAATAAAAAGAAATACGTGAATTACGGCCAACCCCTGAGGAAAGGTTAAATTACGAAAAAACCCTTAATGTTTGGGTAATTACAACCACCTCCCTCAACTATGAATCTTTTTGCACGTTCACCCTTGCGGTGTCAAATTTAGTAGAATCTTCTAGATTATGTGGAATATTCTCTAGTTTACCCCATTCGAGCTCCATATTTTCAAACAAGATGATCGTAAGATGTGTCTCTTGGCTTGCAAATATCAGATTTTGGTGCATCAGAAACTGAATTTTTGCACAAATCGAGTACAACCTAGAGAACATTCCATGGAATCTAGAAGATTCTGTTCAATTTTGACACCATAACAATGGACTTGTGAAAAGATTCATAGTTGAGGAATCGTTGTAATTATCCAAACATAAGGGGGTTTTTCGTAAATTTACCTAACGAAATATAACAGGGCATGTTTGTTTTGTGGTACAGCTTCTTTACATTGTGTTGCTGTTGGTGTTGTGGAGAGACTTGTGAGTGCTGTTTGGACGCCATTTGCTGTTGCTGCATATAAGCAAAAATTAAAAAAATTAATAAATAATATTTTATTGTCAAAACTTCTTATTTTCTATGTACGAGTTTATTATGTGTACTGATATTTAATTTAATCTCAATAATTTGAATAAATTTAATCAAATACTTCTCGTCACGCAATCAATATCTTTTTATTTATTCTTTTTTTTTTTTATTGTGAAAGATTATTATTTTAGTACAGAAGTTAATCATTTCAAGTTATATCCAAATTTGCTGCTAAATTGTTGAATGTAGCTTTCATGTCACTTTCATAACGCAATTCACATGTCAATTTTAAATGATGGAAATTTATAATTATAGTTAGATGTCATAATTTATTAATACATACATTGTGCTGTAATTTAAACCAGAAAAAGGGAAAGAAAAAAAAAAAACAGAAATTTAATAATAAATTTAAATAAAAAAAGAATTAAATTGACAGAGATTTTCTGGGAAAACAAGTGTAACTTCAATTTGCTAAAAATCAAACTGGTGAATCCCAAAAAATCAGAAGCAGATATTAACAGATAGAGAAGCTCCACCTGCCAAACGAAAAATCGAACAAAATTAAATAAATGTGCGATAATAGTAATATGATTTTCGAGAATTCTTCGTCTAGAAGCGAAGTATATATCAGTTCAAGCTCTATATAAACCAAACACCCCACTCTAATTATCCATCCTCAAATCTCAATAATATAAAAATAAATAAATAAATATCAAAACCAAAAAGACCATGGATGCCCCTGGATATCAAGAAATGTCCTACACCGATCATGTTCGAAGAAGACACGAGGAGAAAGGATGCCTCTATGCATGGTGATTACTGTTTACTCGAATTTACCGATCAATATGCGATTTTGTTATTTATTTTTTATTTTTTATTTACAAAGGGCATTTTCGACATTTTTTTTGGTTGCAGTTTATTCACGATGTGTTGCTGTTTCTGTTGTTTCGAGACTTGTGAGTGCTGTTTGGACATTTGCTGCTGCAACTGTGCTTAAACTTCTTGCCAAGAAATCTCGATTTCTTTTTTGTTTTTTGCAAAGAATAACGAGACTGAGCTTAACTTTGATATATACGATTGATATATATGTTAAGAAATGCCTTGTATTTAATTTGAAGTGCCTAGTATTGTTGTAGTAACGATTTCTTGAAATCATCTGAATTTCGACATTATTGGCGAAAATATGAAATAACTTATATGCATGCATAATTAAGAGTGGAATTTACGGAAAAAAGAAACACCTGAAAAGAGGCCGTGGTCTAACTTCCGAGAATAGGGTTTCTCCCCTCGTCGATTTCCACAACTAGTAAATGGTTTGGGTCAGATCCCTTTGGTCCTTCCGCATAAAGTGTCGGAAGATATGCTTTGTATGCTGGCAAATATCGCGAAACGAAATCCAAAACCTGTAATTACAATTACCAAGATAGTTAGTTACCTTTGTGCAATTTTTTTCAGTTGATAATAAAGATGAATTAATAATATTACTACTTCGATAATTACCTCTTCATCAGACAATCCTGTCTTTCCATCAGCCCTCATAGCAATCTCTGCCTGAAGATCACATAATCAGTCATGGACCGGGTCGGGCCCACGTAGTGAAAATATTGCTCTTACGACAGACTTTTTTTTTAATTATATATATATATATATATATATATATATATATATATATATATATATATATATATATATATTTATTATTATTACCTGCAATCGCCACTGGTAGACACAACTGGGGTCTTGAATCTTGATTACGATCCACGATTTGATGAACTTGTCCCATGCATCGTAATAAGCTTCTAAGTTTTTATTGATGATCTCCAGCTGTAAGATAAATCACAACCGAAAAACTATTTCACAATAAGAAAGAGGAGAGAGAGAGTGAAGAAATTCACAAATCGGATTTTCGAACCTGTGGATCTACTGCTTTCACAACTTCAACTGGAACGGGCTTAAAACCAAGCATCCAACCCTCGAATAGAACCGCCTATATAGTGCGAAAAAAGAAAATTCCATGATTATCTTAACATTATAAAAAAAAAAAAAAAAATCACTTACGACTAGAGGGCCTTCGGCCTCGGGCCATTTTGACGGGTCAGCTCTGTCACCACGACCGCTATATGCCGACTAAAAGAAAGAAACATAGTATAAGTGTCTTCACATATGAAACATTGTAAGAATAAGAATAAGAATATTACGATCGTTCTTGTGTACTTACCTTGTCATATCGGGGAAGCTTCATTTTCATGCCTGTATTTCGACATTAAAATTATACATATTATGCCAATATAACACAATCAAAGCATTGAAGATTGATCGAAATAACTGCATTAGGCTTGTTTCTGTTACCTTCTTTGGTCAATTTGTTTAGTTCTGTCAACGTCTCAATGGACAATGAAAGATCGTGGCTTCCAGCATTTCCACGGTACTGAAGGTAAAAATGTATATGTTTTCTTAATCGCACAACAATATATAAAAGGTTTTCGGTTTCGAATTTTTGGGGTCTCGGGGTTTCGGGTTTCGGTTTAATAATACTAAAACAAAAATAAAAATGCGTAATTTCGAGAGAAGTTCAAACTACCTCTAGAAGTGCATTTCCAGGATTGCTTTCTCTTAGCTTGGCCTAAAATGGACAGTACAAAAAAGAAATTCTTGTAATTCATTCGATACGTAAATAGCAGAGTTCAATTTCAGACAAGAAGAAAGATTCACCTGATTCTCTGCCGTCAGGTAAAAATCATCGATCGACACAGTCGCAGTCTTCCTGAAAACTTAAATCATCTGTTTTTACCATCTTTTAATTCACCCATAATTTCGTACTTTCGAACAAATATTAATTTACCATTTTAGTAATCTACCTCCCAGAGATACTAAAAAGGAAATCCAGAGCAAATACAAGAGTCGTTTTCCCACACCCTTGTGGCGCACTGAAACCAATCTGCATTCGAAGAACAACAAATTTACGAATACGCTCCCATCACCAAAAATTTCAGCACTCATTCGATCACAAAAAAAATAAAAAATAAAAAAAGATATACCACTAAAGGGGGAACGTCATCTTTGTCTTTAAACTGAGAATTATGACGAGAGATTTCCTGTTCGCACCACATGAAGACAGGTATGTAGTAATGGTAGATACGGATTTTTTGAGGCTCGGTGAGAAAGAGTTCGTCGAGCTGAAACAATCTGCAGAGGTGGGACCCACACAGTACCCACTCGTTGATTGATTCGCCCACCTTTTCCGGATTCAGGCCTACTTTGTCTATAAGTGGGCCCGCACATATAAATTCGTAAAGATCCTCTACAGAAGAAACTTGTGCCGATGTTGTAGGGAACACCGAATGCAATGGACCTTCACTTTGCCCATGACAATCAAATTTGTTGTAAATCGATGGTTCGTTTCTTATCCATGAAACTCCACTGCCTGTAATGAAAACCAACAGTTACTACAAGTCCTTCGAAAATCCACTACGAAAAAAAATTAATTTTTTTGGATAATATCTCAAATGCCAAGTGTCGTATATTAGTACGAGCAACATCAAAAGATAATCGTCCATTCTTTAAGTAAATTAAATATTTGGTGATTATGGCGACCGATATCGACATAAATAAGCTGCTTTTCAGTGAGAAATGGCTTTCTATATTTGCTTTATATTTTCTGGCTTAAATTAGCCACCAGAAACTTCTTTATGGTTCAGATATATAGACAATTTGCAGAATTCAATAAATACACAATATTTATTTATTTATTATTATTATTATTATTATTTTTTTTTTTTTTGCATAAACCTAACAATTAGGTACTTCACAGAACATAATCTTCAGTCTATTTATAATGCACTAATCATTTTTTATTTCACCAGCTTAAATTTACAAAGAAAAAAAAAAAGAGACAAACCCTTAATCAGAAATACAACAAAAAATCATCACTCCAGAAATAAAAATTGAGCACAAAATTTAAAGAATATTTGCATAATTCATAATTACCCATGATTTTACCTGATGAATTTAAGGAGTTAGGGTTCATCTGGGGCTGGGGCTGAATCGAGTAGAGAATTGATTGAGCTCTCTCTGCTTTACGCTTACGAACTGCTGCGGAAATTGGGGAAAATCGACTGCATTTCGAAATTTTTTTGGGCAAAAAATGGCAATTTCTTTCGTCATTATTAAAATAATAGGAAGTCGAAGGTAAGGAGGAGGGTGACGTAATCAACGATGAGCTGATTGGCGGGGATAAACCAGTCAACACCGCCATTGTTATCTCCTCTGAAATTGCGGGAGAGTACAAAACTATCTCAGTATTTTACTATTTTTAATGATAAACTTCGAAAAATTGCGATCAGTTTGGCTTGGTATCTCAATCCCCATTTGAAGGTGCCGTTGTAATTCAC